TCAGGCCACATGGCCTGGGTTTGAATCCTGACTCTGCCCCCTTGGAAATGTTGTTTAATTGTTCTCTGCTTAAGTTTTCTTGTTACAAAATGGAGATTAATTTAAAAAAATTTTTTTCTTAAAGTTGTGAGAATTAAATGACCTAATCCATGAAGGAATTTAAAACAGTGCTTTATACATGGCAACCATTTGATTGAATATGAGACCTTTATACTAAAGTTTCAAACCTAGAAAACATAAATACAGTGTGATTTTTCACAGTAGAGGAGTACACTTCCATTATTAAGGAATTCCACCCCCCCAAGATTCCTTCAGAAACTGAAGCAATTGACAGTTTGTTGACTGGAAGAGTACCCACAGTGGCAGCAGTGTGCTAAGTGTAGACACAAGTCATCCGCAAACATGCGTTAATTTTTGTGCCCACTATGTGCAAGACCCCTACCACAGTATCACAGCTCCCAACTCCTCACTGTCTGGAGAGTTCTACCCAGAAATGTATGTGGCATGTTTGAACTTATTTATTTATATACTCACAATAGATGTTTTCTCTAATGTGGACTTATTTTAATGCAAAATGAGTTCCTTCCTCTAATAAAGGTATCACATTCTACATGAAGTCGGTAAATCATAAAGAAAGAATAATCACACTTCTCAGAGTGTGTTTCCCTGTTGGAGCCAATCCTGAATAGCTATTAATAGGACTCACTAGTAGTTGAATTTCAGGGAATGCTAACATTTGATTTAATCAGCCAGAGCTCCTCCAGATTAGTGTAACATGCCAAAAGTGTCACCTCTGCGTTTCTACCACATTCTCTCCAGGGAAAGTAGAGGAGGTGCCACAAACACTGGAGGCTAGTGAAGTGGCAGAGCATGCATGCTTTAAACCTAAGGAAAGCTCCAAAGATTAGCGATGGAAGGCCATTTTCATTAGAGGGAACAAAAGGAGGCAGAAAGAAAGGAGCTCAGAGCTACCTTTGATGATGACTGGTATGGCCAAGCTGGGCCCTCAGCAAAAGGCCATGTGACTGCTGCTCCCACGTCCTTGCCTTTGGGTTCTAGCAAACACTGAAGAGCCTGTGCTTCAGGTGTGTTTCTATTATCCTTGTCATCTTCCTCACCTTCTCAAAAGGTAGGAAGGCAACATGTATTATTATCATGTGTGCCAGTTATGAAGCTGTTAACTCTCAGTTCCAAATCCATGTTGCTCTGCTTTACTTTGGTGCTGTGGCTGGGATTCTGAAAACTATGTTCTTCTTTTGTCATCTGTTCTTGATAGGTTATTACCAACAGGGAGCACTAGACAGAGTCTGGGAGACTCGAGGAAAGGTCTTAGTCTTCCTGTTTGCTTGCTGTTTCAGTCAGCATCTCTCAGCAATGGCTTTTTGCCCTGGCAAGGCAACCGACCCTGGTCTCCATTGTCTTTTTTGGCATCCTCAGACCATCTCACCTTGCCCTCCCCCAAGATCTGAGTGCAGTTCTGTGGGACCCCTCCTCTCACTTTCTAGGTTCTCATCATCCCAACCTCTTCCCTTGGTTTACCCAGTGCAAGGGTGGGATTGCTTCTTGCAGTTACTATCTCTGTGATATTCTAGAGTCCCTTTCTGTTTTTTCCATTTTTTCAACAATCATTTAACCAGTTTCTTATTCTAAATTCTCTCTGTTGAAATACCAAGTGAGGTATCTGCTTCCTCTAATTGATCACTATGTCTGCTCCAAAAGATTTGGGAAAACAGGGGCAACAAGTAAGTGAAATCCATTCTCTATCCTTCTCCATAGCCCTATCTGCACTGTCCCTCCCACATGAATATACAAGTTACCCAGTGAAAGTGTTCATATCCAAGTAAGATGTCAGCTGGTAATGGCTTAAAATGTAAACTCTCAAGTTATTGATATTGTTCAAAAGCTTTCTGAAGTTATGTTTTAAGTCATATGGAAATGTTTAGTTAATTTCTGGATGTTTGGCACTGAGCTGGACACTATCAAGGAGAGAAGGAAGTTATAAGGATGGTATAAAATAATGTCCCTTCTCAAGGAACTGTAATTAAAAGAGGAAGAGTCAATGTACACATATTAATAAGAGAAATATATGAAACATAATATAATTATAAACAGTTGGATAGTACATACCACAAATGCATTAGGAGGTAAGAAATAGAAGAGGTCATTGGGGCCAAAGTAACCAGGAGGACCTCACATAGATTATGAGGTGGACTTGGAAGGATTCAGAAATGGAAAGAGAATGGGGAAAAGCTGTCTCGACCTGGAAAGCAGCATAAACAAGGCCACAGAAATGGAACATTAGACTTTGCTATGCATATCCATTCGTACCAATTAATGTGAGTTTGCCATTATATAGATCCTCTACTAGGTTTGCCACCCAAGTAGAACCCAGACTCTGGTGAACTTATAAATAGTCAAACTAACCGGGGTATCATCTGCCACTTAAAAGGAGTGTGAAAATCAAAGTGTCACTCAACTGTGGTCATTTAGAACCATAGCTTATATATTGTTACTAACAGCTGGGGATTTAATATTTGGGATTAATATCCTGGTAATCCTTTTGATTGACTTGGAGGTTTGTCCAAGAAGTTTCCATCCTTCACAAATGACTCAGATGCAAATACCAAACACAACTGCTTGTTGGAGAAAGCCTGAGGAGCCCACAGTAGCCTGCTTAATTAAAATCAGATCTCCAGAATCAGATCTATTTTTTTTTAATTTATTTATTTGAGAGAGAGAGAATGAGAGAGAGCACATGAGAGGGGGGAGGGTCAGAGGGAGAAGCAGACTCCCTGCTGAGCAGGGAGCCCGATGCGGGACTCGATCCAGGGACTCCAGGATCATGACCTGAGCCGAAGGCAGTCGCCCAACCAACTGAGCCACCCAGGCGCCCCAGAATCAGATCTATTTAAAACAAAATACAAACTGAGCAAATTATGACTCTTGATACTGGTTAGAATCAGGTTTTAAAATGGGATTTTAAATGCCTTTTATAAAGTTACATGAGGAATCCAGTAGATTATGCCACCACTTTCACCAAGCACTTTCTTAAATCAGTAAAGTCAAGTGGGAGCAGAATTCTTTAAATTACAAGCAAAAAGATAATAATAGAATTAAATCCTGACCTTTCCCATAAAAGCAACCACCCTCTTCCTCACCCCTACCCTTCTCTAATTTACAGTAACATAATCCATATGGAAGAAATCCCTGTGTGTTTGGGAACCAAGTCCTACACTTTCTTTTCCATCACAAAAGCCAGTTGTTCTTCAGAACCATCCATCAGGATCATATTACACTCTGAAGCATAAAAAAGGAGGCCTGAGCTCAGACCTCCTGCTGAAAAGTTAAGTTGTCAGTTGTTAGGCAGAAAATCAATCAGAAATGCATTTGGGACAATGGCGTGCTGCCTGGAATTACACCAGGCTGGAAAAGAACCAACCGAGAGGCAGAATTCTAATGGTTGGAGATACCCTTTCTGTCTTAGACAAGGCGGATCAATTTATTTAGACACATTTGCTAAACGGAAATACGCTGGTACCAAGTCTCAGATTTACATACAATTATAGCAGAACATTTGCAAAATTTTCTCAGAAGGATCAAGATACTCTATTTCTCAACATGTGCCAGTAACTTCAAAATTGTTACGGATTGCTTTAGCTAACTCACATACCTACCCCTAGGTCTTGCAGCAGGTACAGAGACTTTGCCACAGTTTGGGTAATTTATCATATTTTTGCAAATGCTCATGGAAGACACATGGGTAGCTAGTATTACTACAAGCTCACTGTAGCCCCTTACTGAGTGAATAGGAGGCAGGCAAAAATCTTGGGCCACTCTTCAACATGTTGATTAGTCTTATTTCCAAAGTAGTAAGAGAGTTCGTTAGAATCTAATGCCAATGAAATTGGTCCTTGGTCCCTTATGAGTAATTAAATATTAATATTTAAAATAATAAATAATAAAAATGAATATTAAAAATAATAGCTAGCATGATTTGAGCACTTATTATGAGCTAAGCACTTCACATGCTCCTCTAATCCTCCCAACCATATTAAGAAGTAGGACCTCTTCATTTCACAGACAGAGAAACTAAAGTTTAAAGAGGATGAGTCATTTATTCAAGGTCACCTGGCTGATGGGAGGGACCAGAAATCAAGGTCAAGCTGAAGGATCCCAGATTTCCAGGCTCACCACTTGGCAATGCCACCTCCTACACAGGTAAATATCCACGCACAGAGGAAGACGGCTCTAAATCATGCATAACTGCCTCAACCCCAAGCGAACCACCTCCCAGGGGTTTTAGTGCCAACAGTTTCAAGAAAAACCAGAGAGCTTGGCACTATCACACTCAGAGCCCTCCTGGGTAGGGGTTGTGGTAACTTCCTGTTTGTTATCTTAAGTATGAAGGCCAACAAGTTATCAACAACCTTGATTATGTGCTTAGAAAGTTTGAAGCCAGGCTCTGCTCATGTTCCAAGCCTCATCAACCAATCACTAAACAACTAGCAGTCCCTGTAGTAGTAAGAAGTATGCCTTTCTACATTCTCTATTCATCTCTTCATTGTGGCATGCTTTTGCCTGGTCTTCTGGAATTTATCAAACACAGATGTGTTTATTTGAGCGATTCCTTCCTTATCACTAGCTAATGTAACTGCAGTAGTCTTCCTTATTTGTGGGGGATACATTCCAAGACCCCCAGCAGATGCCTGAAACCACAGAGAGTATTGAACTTTATATATACTAATGTTTTTACCTATATATACAAACCCATGATAAAGTTTAATTTATAAATCAGGCACAGTAAGAGATGAGCAACAATAACTAATAATAAAATAGAACAATTAGTACACTGTAATAAAAGTTACATGAATGTGTGCTTTCTCTCTCTCTCTAGGTATCTTACTGTACTGTACCACCCCTCTTGTAACGATGTGAGATGATAAAATGCCTACATGATGAGATGAAGTGAGATGAATGATATAGGCTTTGTGACTACTCACCTTCTGATGATTCTTCAGAAGGATGATCATCTGCTTCTGGATCTCTGTTGACCACGGTAATAAACTGCAGAAAGCAAAGCGAAATCTCAGATAAGGAGGGACTACTGTTCTCAGAGTAATTGCTTTAAATGCTATAATTAAAATCTCCAAAGACTTTCAAGCTTTTATTCCTACTAAAATACACCTGTGGGGAAAAGAATTATCTCTACAGATGCAAAGACTGAGGCTCAGAGAAGTAACAAAACTAAAATTTTCTAAGTGCACTGTTTGAGTTAGTGAAATAGGAAATGACGGAAACATCTGGTCATGCTGCTGAGGCTCTCAGAACTTGAGTTTGATGCTCCTTGCTACAGGGCGGACAGTTCACAGCCTTGAATGTATAATTGCTTCTTCTGTAACTCCTTCACTCTCGCGGTCCCCCAGTTAACTCATAATCAAGTTCTTACTCTAGTGCATGCTCTATGTGCAACAACCACATTTCCCAACATTGAATTATGCACACACTGGTCTGGGATTCTCATGAGATAACCTCCATTCTTAAGAAATGGCTGCTGAGATAGCACAGTGAGGCAGTTACATGCACTGATAACTGCAGTCAAAATGCCTATGTTCAAATCCCAGCTTCCACCGCGTTGACCTTGAGCAAATTAATTAATAACTCAGTGCCCTGTTTACCCCATCTACAAAATGAAAATAATAATGGTACCTAATTCATAATCACTGTGAGAATTAAATGAGTTCAGGCTAGCCTCTAAACAATTCCTAAAACAGTAAATATTTGCCATTTTTACTTTTCAAACAACCTTCTTTCTTCAATCTCAGAGAAATCACTCTTTTATGCTGACACATTTGTATTCCCTCTCAGTCTCATTCAGAAGGTTCTAATCAAATAAAATGAATCATCTACTTCTTCCTCTCCTCCCTTCCTCAGAACCACACTCAAAGCTGACACCATAGTTGTTGGATCCTATCTTAGTCCCATATGCAGGCTGTGGATGTACTGGTTTTTCTCTCAAAATGTCAGGCTTCCCTATACACAGAAATGATTCTAATTTTATAACCCTCAGAATAGATGTCACTTCTTAGTAGAATCACAGGTCATTTCTGCCTCTTAAGAGCCAGAATATGATCAAAAAATAATCAGAAATCCCCTCTTCATCTCCACCCCCAATTTAGGGCACTATTCTGGGAAATCTGGCAACATGGACCTCAGAGTCCAATGGTCTTGATGGCATCTTCCTTTTTCAACCTCAGATTGCTCACTAACACAGACACTGCTAATGGTTTCCAAATATTTATTCTTCCCTTTTTCCATTGCAGTAGAATTTTTGCTGGGCTCATGGCCACTAGAATAAAGATTACATTGCCCAGCCTTTTGTCCAGTTTGGTATAGCCATGCAGCTAAGTTCTGGCCAATGGGATATAAGCATAAGGTGATATGCCCCACACCACTTCTAGATTGTGTTCTTAAAGGGGGGTGGGGGCATCTCTTTTCTGCCCTCCTCTGAGCTACTGCTTAGAATGTACATTTGGTAGCAAGATAACGTGGGCCATGTGGATGACAGCAATATCCAGAGACATTGAAGCAACAAATAGAAGGAGCCTGGGTCTCTGGAGAAGCTAATAGAGCAGAACAGAACTACTGTACCAGCCCTGGTCTACCTACCTTGGGACTGTACAACAATTAGAAATAATATAGGTCTAATCCACTGTAATTTGGGGTCTTTTTTACATACAGCTTAATCTACCTCCTAATACACTCATCCATTTTGTATTCATTTTAAAGGAATTTACTTCTGTCCTGATTTTAGATTTAGCCTTCTGTAAGAGTTGCTTTATTTCCTTGATTCTAATCCTTTCCATTTTCCCTTTTAAAGTGCATGCTCAATAGTATATAAATTTCATCTTAAGTCTTAATGTTTTGTTATTTCATGTAAAGGTAGTGACTTCATTGCCAAAAAATAATTTCCCCCCCAGATGTTCTATATTAATTTGATGTAGGACTTTGGACTTACCTGGCATCCATTTTCTTGATGTCCATATACTTTATCTATGCCAGAATTCCACATTTCTGAACGATAATGATGCATATTATGTCTTTGTTATAATTTTATTTATTCCTTTCTTATTTTCAATGATATGACTACTTAGGGATAAAACCTAGGTTTGGTGAAGCAAAGATATATTTATGTACATTTTTCATGTGTTGTATATCTTGTTTCACCAATAAGAAATTTCATTTGAGCATTTGGTTTATGCTATACATCTTTAAATATTTTTGTGGGTATTTCAGTTCATTATTGTTAATGTTTTATTTATAATTTCACTTTTCACTTCAAAGATAAACTTCCTCAAATTTATCTATATGAAATTTATTGTAGGTATCAATGTGGTTTTTTGAGTTGCTACCTCAATTCAGGGTGGTTTTTTTCCTAATTAATATTCAGTTTATTAATGTTACCAAGGCAAAAAGTTTTCCTTAAGCTTTTGATTTCAATTTATAAGCTTTATTCTATTTATAAGTTGTGGTAATCATTTATATGTATATATCAAATCATTATACTGTGCACCTTAAACTAATATGTTATATGTCAATTAATCTTAATAAAACTGGAAAAAGTAAAATAAAATGATTAATTTTAACAATTACTCTTAAAAAGTCAAATCAAATATTTTATTAATCTTTGATCAACTCAATTTGTTCAGTTCTTTTATAAACTTAATATCTCTCCTAGGGGCGCTTGGGTGGCTCAGTCGGTTAAGCATCTGCCTTCCGCTCGGGTCATGATCCTAGGCTCCTGGGATAGAGACCCACATGGGCCTCCCTACTCAGCGGGGCTCTGCTTCTCCTTCTCCCTCTGCCCCTCCACCCCCCACCCCCACTCATGCTCTCTCTCTCCCTCAAATAAATAAATAAAATCTTTAAAAACAAAGATCTCTCCTAAACATTTTTTTGCTATATTTACATATTTAATATAATCGTATATTTAAAATCATCTTTTAAATGCCACTATAAGGAAAACTCTTCCAGGCACTTAAAAATTCAACTAAATTCAATATATTAAATTTAAAATACAATAAATTTTAAGCTCTCCTAAATACTGAATACTATTTACAAACTTAGTAAAATATTTTATGCATTTCAACTTAAAAATCGTAAGTCTAAATCAGCTGCTGAATTACATATCTTAAATTGAAATCATAAAGCTCATGTGTTTATAATATATTCAATTTTCTTCAAATCCAAGTGTGTACCTATTCTAGTTAAATTAACAGAAAATTAGTAATATTATGGGTTTGACTTAAATCATTATCTCTAAGATTAATCCATGTTTCCCTTGGGTGAAAATAATTTTGTGTACTAAAGGAAGCAAGTTGGAATTTGTTATCTCAAGTGAATTGGAGTGACTGTCTTGGCATAGTGAGGTTGCTCGTTCTCCAAAGGCTTTGGCCAGGATTGACTTTCCACAGGCCATTAATGGACAAGGGTAACCCTTTCATAGAGCCATTCTGTCAAGAGGGAATCCAAGCCTGTGCCCTCCAAATAGGTCAGTTTTACGGCCCCATGAATTTAAGTTACACATTTTCTATTTCTTCAATCTGATTTGAGTCTACAAATCTCCACCAAAATTGTTTCAGCACTTAATTAGGTTTAACTAATCCATTTACTGCCGGATTCTGTTCTGAATAATTTTCATATTTTGCCATGGGCTCCCACTACAAATCTATAGATATTTAAATAACATCTGATTGAATTCTGCGTATTTTTCATTTCTGTATGACTTGACAGACCCCAGACATCATACTAATGATAATAAGGAGAGGCGTACATCTGGACATTATTAGTTAGAGCCCATTGATAACAATACATGCCTGCAAACTGCTTTTACATTTTTCAAATCATTTTCATCCACAATTGACATTGTTAAAACTGATATTTTTGTTGTTAAACTTGCAGAGTAAATTTTATCCTATTTTTTTTTAAATCATTTGGGTTTTTATTATAAAAGCAATGCAGTCTTCCCCAGTAGGCAGGGCAACCTGTCTTTAAAGCATAAAATCATCTGCTATCCAAGGAATCTCCTGCCTAACCTCATGCTAAGCTACATGAACTGTGGCTCCAGAGCTAACTCTTTTTTAAAACTGCCACTCCACATAACCTTTATAGGTAACTTAATTTTGAAATAATTTCAGACTTCCAGGAAAGTTTTAAAAATAATATGAAGAGGGGCGCCTGGGTGGCTCAGTCGGTTAAGCGTCTGCCTTCGGCTCAGGTCATGATCCCAGGGTCCTGGAATTGAGCCCTGCGTCAGGCTCCCTGCTCAGTGGGAAGCCCGCTTCTCCTTCTCCCACTTCCCCTGCTTGTGTTCCTGC